GGGGGGAATAATGTATCACTGATAATGGACACAAAGAATGCAGAATTTATGGGCCACAGGGAAAGTCAGCTCAGGAACTGTACTGTAATCAGCTCCAACTGGGCAAAAGGTAATTCCAGCAGGGGCAGATTGCAACCACCAATCACAACCCCCCAAGTCAAGAAACTCATGGACTCAAAAGAAGAGAAAGACTGATCATGCAGACTTATGTTTGATCAATGGAATAAGAGAGCTCTCTTGAGTTCAATGAGCATTAATTCCTTTGTTTGTGAAAATGCATAAATAGTGAAAAGTTTTGAATGACCTCAGGACCCCACACCACTAAGAAGCCCAGGATCCATGGGTGGTGACTGTCTTCTGCTTAATCTGTCTCTCTCTTCTCTTTTCTATTTCTTTTTACCTCTCTACCTCACATTTTATTGTTAAATGAAATCCTTACTATTGATTTTAGCATATGGTCTAGTTTGCACCCTAATTTGGACAGAGGCATCTCTCACTAATTGGATCTTAACAGGATGGTCTTAGCAGTGTGGGGTTAGTGGTTGGACTCGATGATCTTAGAGGTCTTTCCCAACTTGAATGATTCTGTGATTCTATATATACAAGTGTATATGTACATCTCTCTATAAACGTATATACTTTTATATATGTATATAGTGAGTACAACTGCACATATGAATATGTGCATTTATCACACGTGCATATATGTGTATGATCAAAAACAAGCCTGTCAGAAAAACAGCCCCTGTGTCAGGCTTCTGACACAGGGGCTACCTAAAGTTTCACGTTGCCAGCCCACTTTACCACAGAAAAGTGAGTAATCAACGTGTTGCTATAGAAAATAATAAATAATGCTGTTTGTCACCTTCTCACATGCAATAAATCCCAAACTGGATGGAGACCTTGATTTTTGAAACTCTGTTCCACTCCCATCTTTTTTAATTGCATGGAAAACAAACTGACAGCACTTTGTTGCTGGTCATTCCTTATCCCAATCTGAAGGCAAGACAACCCTACAGAAATAGGACAAGGCAGGCAGCTGAGAACTGACACTAGCCAAGGGCCAGCTCAGGGTCCCTCATACTCTATGACTACCATACACCAGGAGGTTGAATTCGTAGTGTATCTTAGATTCACTTATTGAACATTTTCTCCCTTGTTCAGTTTGAAAACAAAGGGGTTTAGCCTGGCCCTGGGTAGGCGGTGGTAAAAACTCACTTGAATGTCAGTAAGTCCAACAACCTTCCCTCTCCTTTCCCCAGTTTTATGATTTTTTACCATTATACTGAAACAATGAGCATTATTTTAGACAGTTGTACTCAAAATCAGGGACAACGCGAATCTTCATCCAAAATGGCTTTTAGTCTTCACCAGGAATTGTTTGTTTTGTAGGCAGTGGTCTGACTTAATTTCTACTTCAAATATACTTTGTACATTTTACCAAGCTTGTGTATAAACTCTGAGAGAAGCTCTTCAAATTTAACAGGACTAAAAATCCCTTTTCCTTCTTACTCTTATCACTTACAGCATTTTCGACTTTGTCCACTGAAAAACAACAGAAGCAAAAAAACCACCTCAGCTCAGTGTAGTATATGTAAATATGTAAACATGTATGGCTCTCTGTTTTCCCCCTGCTTCCCTTCTTAGCAAAAGAAAAGGCAAGAGTGGTACCTTCAGGTCACACCCATCCCATCAGCCCTTTTAAATATGAGGACCTGATCATTGCTTGACTGGCGAGATGTTGCCAGGTACTAGCAGTGTAAAGACATATTGATATTGCACCATAAATTTCCATCATGTTTCACTTCTCCAAGCAGGGCTGCAGGTCACAAAGATCACTGAGTGCAACAGTGCAGCAGTTTGTATTTACTGCCTGGTAATAACACACTATGGACCACTGTCTGAGCTTATTTACATGGGTGTCAGCCCAGAGTAGCCACTTGGTGCCACTGGATTTATGCAAGATTTACACCTGTGCAACTAAGAGCAGAATTTGGCCCTAAATTATGATGTAGTTAAATACCCCATGTTTCTGAGTTGCAGGTCATTATTTACACCCACATGAAATGGGTTGTAAAATGCCATTACGCTGATTTGTTGGTGTGTTAGACTCAATTTGCTCAGGTGTAAATAACTGCCCGGTGGGTGGCATAATATTTGCATCCTGTAGCTTAAGGCGTTGCTGTCTGCTGCAAATCAGTCAGGCTTCAGGCTCCAGTATCCTCGCGAGAGCAGAACGGATGCTCCTGGCCTGGAGAAAGTGATGCAATAGCAGACTGCTAATGAGTGTTCATGGGGCGTGACATACATGGAATAAAACTGGAATATCTTGTGTATACTTCCATTATTTTTTGCAGCTGAAGTCTCGTGTCCTGATGACTCCCTTAGCAATCTCTCCACCGAGAAGCACGCCAGAGCCAGATATTAGTTCAATCCCTCAGGATGCAGCTACAATACCCAGCTCGGACACCCCACAGTCTCTCACAGGTACTCAGCCTCAAGTGCTCCTTGATCAAGGGGTGAGCAGGAGTCACGGGCTGACAGCCAGATGATGTGCTTCCCAGAACAGGTGGAGCTTATGAAAATGGGGTGTTTGAAGATTAGTCTGGCAACCAGTGACAAAGAGCAGGGATATCCTGCAAGACTATATTTTGACTGCCATGTGTCAAATTTAGTGGAGATGTCAGTTCCATTCCTCTTGAAATGGGAACTTGAAAACTCATTAATGCTCCATTTTATACCCAATACTCACCCCATCTAATATGTTGCAATGACCAGACTAAATCCCTGTATGAACATGAAGCATCTGTTACAGCTGTGGGGAGAAGAACAGAGGAGCCATGGTCTGACTGTAGGCAGGGTTACCAGCACATAAACCTCAATGCCTTATCACAGCAGCAGATGTGGTCATTTCTGAATGTAGTCAGAAAACACAGCCTTATTCTTTTTTTTGTTTATACTATCAGAAGTGACATAGGTCAATGCTTTTAAACTGATGTAAATGAGAAGAAAATCAACAAGACAGTTGATTTAGCCTGAGATTTCAGCAGAGAAATGGATTAGATAACATTAGAATCTAAACACAACACATAAATCCCATTATTTCTTAGTTGGGATGCACAGAGGAGAAGTTTTCCATCTGCTCTGGTGGCAGAATGACACTAAACACAGTGACAATGACGATAATAATATATTTTATTCTCATTTATCCCTTCACATACAAAGTCTGCAAAGCACTTGGCAAACATCGAGTGGTGTTTCACAGCACTGCCCTGAGAGGTGTACCTGGGGCTGCTTCTGAAGGGGGATAGGGAGGCACAGTCCACACCAGTCCTACCAGATCACAGGCTGGTGGCAAAGGCAGAGGTTCCGTGAGTCTTTTCAGGCTCTATGGATGCAGTGCCCCACATCTCTTTCTGCCCACCCCCATGGCACCTCTTCTCCCAGTACCTTCCCAATGGTGAATCCAGCCTCCCACCAGAGCAGGGTTTGCAGGAGATGGAGGGAAGCTCAAGCTGGCTTTTGCCTGCCTATCTGCACCAAAAGGACCATAGGGACCCCTGCTCCCCAGTGAGGGACTCAGCACACAGCCTGCAGGCTGCAGAGTCTCTCCCACAGCTGCAGCTGACCCCTGACAAAACCAGTCAGGGTCACAGCAAAAGTCACATTCTGCAGATTTGTTGAGGTGGGGTACACTGGGAAAGCTGCACTCTGACATCCCCCTCCAATTCATGCATGCTGCTGCTGTATTTTAGTGCACTATTCCTTTGTTTGTTTGGCACTTGGAAGGTGTAAAGTGGTATGTAATGATAAGTATGATTGCTATTATACTCCTGTTTACCCAGGATATACTGTTTGAGCCCCTTCTGCTGTTCCCTGCTAGATGGGGTAGCAGAGTGCACTGTGACAGTCGCACTAGATTTTCATTACAGCGATGCAAACCATAAATTATTTCCAACTTTACACAGCTGTCATCATGTCCTCCACTCTGCTTGATGGGGTTTTTTTGTCACATATCTGATTTCTGTCAGAGGGTAATGTTATATTGTTTGAGAGATGACAGCTTGAGCACACTCAGCCAGCTATTATAATACGTCTCACTTTAGCCTGACTTAAAGCTGTGTCTTAGTTGCCCTTAGTTACTGCAGTGGTATCTCCACTTTCTCCAAGATACAGCTAGCCTCAGCCAAGTTTAAAATAAGTTCATGGTAGCGAGGAGAACACTGATCTTCTGGCTATTGATGGCAGGCCTGATGGCATGTAGAAAAACTGCCTCTGCAGGCAATGGCTTATGAGAGGAGGCACGCAGGGCTTGACTGTGGAGAGGCTGGTGCAGATCCCCTCACAAGACCCCCTGTGCAGCACAGTCTCTCTGCTGTGGTTCCTAATGGGGATGGAGCACTGCACACCATGTACAGTTTCCCTTGATACAACACAGTTTGTAGAGTGCTGGGTTGGACATGGAGGGTCAGGAAGATCCCAAAGACCAGAGTCTCTGCTGTGGCACTGTGCAGCTCAGCGCGGCATAACCCTCCAGAAATTACAGCTGCATTAGTGTCAGAAGAAGCAAGGATCCGAAGTCTTTCCAAAACTCAGAGCAGTGCTTCTCAGAGTGGCTCTCAATGAACCAGTGTAAACATACATAGAGAAAACAAAATAAACAACTCCAAAACACACCTTGGGCTGGCGTTCACCCCTTGTGAAGTCTCCCTTGTGAGTCACTGTCCTGCACTCCCAGGGCATTTTTCTGGTCACAAGCTGCACGGACAAGGTAGACTTAAGAGCCCTGGCATACACAGGAGCTTCTTTAGGTACATGTACCTTATCCTAAGCTGTGACACTGAGCTAGACCTAAACTCATCTTGCTTTGCTTTGACAGTGAGTGATCAGTGTGAGGAAGTCTGGCTCTGCCATCGCAAATGGCAACAGTTCACCAGTGAATGCAAGAACTTTGAAAATAAATAGAAATGTATAACTCTAGTATTTTCTAGGATGCTCTCAGGACTGTTTTGTAATAACTTTGTTGGGATTTTATGTCTACAGTCTGCATTTATGTCAACAAACAAGCGAATCCGGGGCCGTACCTTGACAGAAAAAAGGTGCAGCAGCTGCCAGAGCGCTTTGGGCCAGAGCGGCCGTCGGTGGCCCTGCAGCACGCAGTGCAAGCCTGCATCGACTGTGCGCTCCAGCAAAAGGTGGTCTTCTCCCTCATCAGGCAGGGCTATGGAGGCGAGATGGTGTCAGGTAAAGCGTCTTTGTAAGGGGTTTGTGGCCAGTGGGGAAGTGCTTGAATTCTTAACCTAATCCCCAATCCTGACTGCCCTGGCTGTCCCGTTCACATCAGTGGGCTGGTAACCAGCTTTGAACATCACTTACACCTTTGTAAAATGAGCTGCTGCAGGAATTGCCTTGGCATCAGATGAAAGAATATCAGTAAAGTGTACTGCAGTGTTGTTTCAGGAGAGGAACAGGCGCTTCAAAAGCCGGCATTTACCACTCTTGGGAACAGTTCTGGGGCCTGGGGTGTGAGCTGAGGATTTCATGCAGCCACACAAGAATGAGCAGCAATGCCAGCCCACTCCATGACATACATTATCACCACAAGTACACATGCATGCCTCATGCAATGAGGGTGGTAAAACACTGGAACAGGTTGCCTGGAGAGGTAATGGATGCCCCATCCTTGAAAGTGTTCAAGGCCAGGTTGGATAGGCCTTGGAGCAATCTGATCTAGCTGAAGATTTCCTTGCTTAGAGAAGGAGGATTGGACTAAGTGACTTTTAGAGGTCCCTTCCAGATAAAACCATTCTATGACTTTGATTCTATGATGCTCTAAAGGACAATTCTTATGGAGTTAAGCCGCTGGTGCATCCTCTGCCTGCAGTTCATGAGCCAAACCTGCTCTCAGCTGCAGAAATTGCAAAAGTTCCATGGCAATTCCCTGTGCAGCAGGACTACGCAAGTATATCAGAGAGAATCAGAGATCAAGGGGAATTTCCCAGGAGTCCCTCATCTTCCTGCGGTGGCACTTCTTGCTGTGTCCTGATGAGTCTCCCGTGTCTCACACTAAATACCCTGGCCTGGCTCTCAGATTGAATGTGAATTTTTTTTTTTAATCACAGCTAGAGTTTTGTGTCACAACACTGTTTTGGCACATGGGGATGCTGTGTGAATGAAACAATGGTGGGAATATGGAACAGAACTCTCCAATAAGATGCTGCAAATGAGTCAAGCCAAGGACTACAAATCCAGTTTCTCAGGGACTGCAGCTGCTCAGCTGTGCCATTGGGATCTTCTTGTGTGGGAGCCTAAGCACTGGCCCTCTGTGCAACATATAAATCCTGCTTCTTCCCTCTCCTCTAGTTCTCTCTCATCACAGGTGTGCCTTCCCTATGGGACATCAGAAATAGTCTGAGAATGATCCAGACTTGTTCACAGAAACATGAGATGAAGCAATTTAGTGCAAATCTTCATTTTTGCCTAGTTCTGTGCTGCATATATGATTTTCATTACAACCAGGAGAGTCACATTATGCACCAAGCCTGCCAAACTCCTTGGTTGCAGTTCCTCTGAGCTGACTCAACTTCAGCCTCACTTGAGTTAAAAGCACCTGGGCAGCATTGCTCCCAGCCTCATGCTTCTTCTAATCATCAAGGAGGGGTGAATGGCCTCCTAGTCATGGCATGGCTCTGCAATTGCACCTCACTCCCAGCCCAGCAACAGTGAAGACAAATTTTATCATGGGCTTTCCAATCTTCCCATGGCTTGACTCACAGATGTTCAACTGGCTGTGGAGCACAATCCCTCACAGCAACTCAGGCCAACAGGAAATCTCTGAAGTTATCCCCAAAATTATAAGTCTAACGTTATGATTTGTACTTGTTAGCAGTGATGGGAGGCTGTAGGATTGGGAAAAAACCTCCCAGGTGGAGGAGTCCAGGCAGCCATATCATGTAGTCCTTTCTACAGACCTGTTGACACTGTATGTGTCCTGCTATAACTGATTCTGGTGGGTTTGTTGTGACCCCTCCACCTCTCTCAGGTTCCTGGCTAAACATATCCCCTGACAGCTTTACCTAGGAATTTAAATTGCTCTTTTCTCTCCCCTGAGTTCAATTTTAGATGTATTTGTGGAGAGCTGCCCTCATCCTGCTAGGCTGAAATACACAGTTTCTTTCAGGTGAGGACGATCTCTGGATTAGTGAAAGGAGTGCAAGCGTTTTACCACAGTCCTACACAGAAGCATGGTGATGGCTGCAGTATCACAGAGGAAATTTCTGTCCCCTGAGTATTGCTGTGGTGGGCCTGTGCACTTCTGCAAGTGTGAATTCACCCTTTTTGAGCCTGGATGACCAGAGTGGTTCCCGTCAGTCCATCTCAGGTTTCACCAGAACTTTATATAGTGGCATTAACAATCCCTTTTCTCTCCTGGAAATGCTTTTTTCTACATCTCCTTGAAGTGTATCTGACTTTTTTTTATCACTGTGTTACCTCAGTGACTTATGGTCATCTGGTGAGCTTGTTTCATCATTTCTTCTCTCATCAGGTTGTACTGAGTCTCCTCAAATAGTTATGGATGGCTGTGTACATTCTAGAATTTTTTTCTACTAATTTTTGCTATTACAGAATTCAAAATTAGTCAATCCTTTCTGTGCAATCTCCCAATCTTCTTTTCTATCGATAAAGTCTTCTAGCTTACAGCATCCACAAAATCTTTTTGTGCCAGTGCAGACTACCGCAGCTCCCTCTCCACGACTTGTAGTGTCCTGCCAGCAGACTCTGTTGTTTCTTGACCCACCTTTCAAATGCAATGATTTCCAGTTTATTGAAAGATCCCTCACATTTTACTGAATTCTGGATAGAACACAACTACCAACCTTCCCTTGCCTATAAATGCAATTAACTCAGTAAGTACAGATCCACAATGAAGCTGTTCCCTCTTTCTTCAGTACAACCTTGGTACATTTTACTCATTCATAATTAAATTATGAATTATCTCCCCATAATCTTTTAAAACCTTGGGTATTGCTGAAGACAGCCAAATAGCCCATCACTTTTAGTGATCACTGCAGATCACTTTCTTTCCCCTTCCTTAGACCAGGGTATCATAATTGCCTCCAATCACACAATACAGTTTTCAGATGGATGCATATATTAGAAATCCTTGCACTGCTGGCCATGCCAGTCAGCATCTTTCAGCACTCTAGGGGGAAGGTGATTTGGGTCACACAAACTCAGCTCCTTAAGCTCCTCCAGTTTGTTATGTGCCTCAGGTAAGGTAATTATGCAAAATATTTTAAGACATGCAAACACTTGAGTAAAATCATTTCCCTTGCTCTCATTCTTCTTCCTGCCATGCATCCCCAGGTATTGAATTGCTCCTGTTTGCTTTCCAGTTTCAGCTTCTTTTGAAGGGAAGCAGCATCTCCAGAGCATACTGGTAGTGAACAGCATTGGATATGTCCTGCGCTTCCTGAAGAAGCTGTGTCGCAGCCTCTTGTGTGACAATCTCTTCAGCAACCAGCCTTTCCAGCAGTACAACGCTGTGATGGAAAGCCCGGAGGTGTATGAAAACAGACAGGTGGAGGCAGGTAGGCTGCTTGATCAGCTCGGGCTCAGGATTTAACAGACCTGAAGAAATGACTGTCTTTTGGGGGGGGCTGTACTGTATATGATAGAGAACTGCAGGCCTCTGTGGGACCTTTCCAGAGGGAGGCAGCAGGCTGATTGGCAGTATTTTTCCCAGTAGCTATGGAGGAGGCTTTCAGCTGAGCACCACTGTGTTGAGGAGCAACAGGGATAGGGATAATTTTAAAATTATTTTATATTTTTATGTTTCTTTTATCTCTTTTCCTAAGGAAAAAAGACTTGTATGCTATCGTTGTCCTTGTTTCTGTCAATTTTCTCCTGTAACTTTTGGCATCCTCAAGCATACCTGACCCTGAGGTAGAAGCCTCAAACGGATTTAAGTTCCTTCAAGTTTCAGGTAGGCAGGAAGGTAGAGGGGAAATTTTCCTTTCTTCATAGCATTCAACCGCCATATTAGACACTAAAGTGTCCCCACTGACTACCAAGCCCTCTCTGCTTACAGCCCCTCCGCACAACAATGCCTGTCCCGGGTCCTCATACCCCTCTGTTCATGCGCTGCCTTGGTTCATTGCCTACGGGGGGAGTGGGAGGCTGGGTGAGTGTGTGGATCCCAATCCACACTTTGGTGTCATCATGGCATGCCATAACAGGTATTCTCTGACCTGGCACTGCTCCAGCACCTGTGTGCTTCCCAGCTTGCATGCAGCTTTTTTTAAGGATCACCTGCAAAGCAGGACGGTCTGCCTTCACTCGAGCGAGCCTCTTACTGGGTGAGGGGAGGGAGCCACCTGCAGCACTTCAGTTTTGGGTCAGGGTTGCCAGCATAAACCTAGGGTACACATTATTAGCAGTAGCACACTAAGGCTGGATCCTGATCTGTCACCTCCATTCGTGAGTGTAAACCTAAATGAGTTGTGACTGCTAAGTGGTTTGCTTTGCTACTTTTAGGAATGTTTCTCCTTAAAAAGTCTCTGGACACCAACAAGTTCCTTCTCTTAGTGCTAGACCACGTGGGACAAAGAATGAAGGGGCTGTGGTGTGGGGCAGATGCACCCAAGGATGGTGGTGGTCCAGAGAGCTACCAGCCCAGAGCAACACCAGGCTCCCAGATGCATGGGACCTGAAGTTCCTTCTTGCCCACACCGCAGCATGTTGGGATGGGGTGCTGGCCCCAGGCAGCCCCCGTGGAACTGGGGTATGCCTGCAGCCTCCATCTGCAATCAGTGGCTAGAAGGCTGCCCTGGGGCCCTCTATGGACTTTGCAAAAACTAGTTTAGTAAAAAGGAAAGATGCAAATTATGGGCACGAGCCTTCATTTCACCTGCAGGCTTCCTCCTGACTTAAATTATTTTTCCTTTTCTTTTATTAACAACACTGTGGGTGTCTCTCATGCATTCAATTTAATGGCAGATACATGCTGGCCAAGAGAAAGGTGTTTTAGTGTCCACAGTTATGAATGGTTTGTTTGCCAGGAAGACCCTAAATGTGAAGATTGCACACCAAAGCTGGAGAGGGCTGTGCACACAGTGCAGAAATATTCTTTTTGTGCAAAGAAATCCAACTGCCAGTCTTTCACATAGGAGAGGGAAGGCAGGAGCCCAGACTGAAAAGCAGTATTTTTCTCTTGACTACGACATTTGCAGCAAGCTGAATGTTTCTGAGAGGTCAAGGGATTTCTGTAGCACTGAGCGAATGCAGCCCAGGAGGCCTGGCATTTGCGTTTGCATTCTAATTTGCATGTACATTTGCATTTACTTTTGCACAGCGTGTGATAGAAGGCAGCTCCACAACTGGAGTTTTTACAGTTGCTGTTACACTCTGAGAATCTCCCTCCCCACAAAATTTCAGTGCAGATGTCCCTGGCACCATTCCCATCGGATCTCCCCAGACACGGAGGAAGGGGCTAAATATTATTTTTCCCTCAAACTAGACAGGAGATGTAGGTGTAGGCAAGGCTTCTGTTTCCTGGGTCTCCTACTGGGTCTATGGGGGGGGACAATTAATAGCTTCCCAGAAGCAGCATGGTCTGGGAGTCTGGGCTGGCCAGGGAGGTTTAGACTGGGTATTAGGAAGAAATTTACTGTGAGAGTGGTGAGGGATTGAAACAGGTTGCTCAGAGAAGCTGTAGATGCTCCATCCCTGAAAGTGTTCAAGGCCAGGTTGGATGGGGCCCTGGGCAAACTGGTCTAGTGGGTGGCATCCCTGCCCACGTCTGGGGTGAGAAGTTGGAACTAGATGATCTTTAAGGTCCCTTCCAACCCAAAGCACTCTATGATTCTATGGAAGAACCATCTGGTCCTGCAGTGAGAGAGGCTGTGCTCTTTCCAGAGCACAGTGCTCTTTCCAGAGCATTTGGGTGTTCAAGTGGCTGTTTGAGCTGACAGCCCCAAGAGGGGATGCTCCTTCCAACAAAGACTAACAGGAAAATGATGAGACAGGATTTGAGGACAGTTTCAGCTCTACTGAAGCCTGTCCCATGGCCTGTGGGGATGGTGGGGCTGGTTTCAGTGCAGCCAGCTAGTTGTCTGGAAAACCCAGCTGAGATTATTTGATTATTTATTATTATATTATTATGACTGAGATTATTTCTCAGTCCTAGAGCACACATGAAGGCATAGAAGGAGAAATTAACTCTGCCACATAAAGCACTTGAAATGGGGAATTTTGGAGAGGGGAAAAGCTGTCTCTTCCCCAGGGCAACTAGTGCCCAGCTCAGGAGCAGTTTGTCCATGTCTGTGTGGTAGAGGAACTGGAGTGATGGTCCCCCACCCTTTGTGTTGTACTCAGATAGAGCCAGGCAGGTACACAGCATTCCTGTTCATCGTGTCAGTTTGTACTCAACAGCTCCATTGGCACCACTGGAGTAACTCCAGTTTGAGGCACTGAGTCCATGTTTAATGCTTTATTGCCTAAATCTCCTTCCATCTCCACAGGAGCTAGCATTTCTCTGCAAGAAGGTCAGCACAGAGGGGTCCTCTGCTACACGGGGCAGAGACAGGGTCTCCCCATAGTGGCAATAAGGAGGACAGTAGGAGCTCTGCTTGCAGACAGGTCTGTCAGATGCCTGTTGGGATAAAACTTGTATGGAAGAAGCAGGGCCATAACAAAACACCACAGGAAGCCATGAAAAACAGCCACATTTTTCATTCTTTATGTTCTCCAGCTTGTAATCAAGATGTTCTTTCTTTTAAAATCACGTGCTTTTCAGCCCCTGTGCACCAATGAATCTAATACATGTATTGACTTTGGTGCATTTACTCTTGATTTACACTGTCAGAAATGAGAGAAGCCAGCATCATATCCAGTCATATTAATCCACTTACACCATAGAGGAGTCACCTTTTAACCTTGCCCCAAAGCACGTGCCCCTAAGCCTTTATTCACCTATGCTCACAGCAAACTGCCATATGCTAATGGCTGTGTACAGGCCAGGTGGGATTTGTTGACATATGCATACATCACTTACAACCGTGTTTTACATGTCTAAGAAGTACACACTCGCCATGCTGTACCTAGTGCTGGCCTCTGCAATGAGCCCTGTCGACAGTGCATTACCCTCCCTGCACCTGAGCCCCAGCTCTGCCTACCCTGTCAATGCCTCTCACACCAGCACCCCGTAGCCCCATGTGTAGGGTGAGGGCTCCTCTCCAGCCCCCTCCCAATGTCAGTGCCTTGTCCTGGCACATCTGTGGATATTCCTATATCTCTTTCTTGGATGCTCTCACTAGAGCAATTTGTGGGCAGCAGTTGTGGGATGACTCCCAGGACTTCATCTGGGAAATCCTGGCTTCAGGTCTGCATTACAGCAATCCTGAGATGTTACCTGTCCCCACAGCACCTGGGTTCAAAGCACCTCTGAACTTGCACCCCAGAATTTTGCATGACAGCAGCAGTGTAACTTGAGCTAAAATGATGGCAAGATCTGGGTGACCTGTGCAGAAAATGCTGTGGAGTGTGCCCGGGACTACACGATGGAAAGCCACCAGAGATCCTGTTGCCTCCATACACACAGTCTGTGGTCAGCTTTCATTATTTCTCTCTGTGCTGGTTTAAAAGTAAACCGGCAGGAGAAAAGGACCCAACTCAAGAGAGATTACAATTCAGAGTTATAGTATACTAAAAGAGATTACAATAAATGCAATGATACAGAGAAAAACTGGTTTTAACCCCCAGAAACAGATGTATAACCCAGCACCCTGGGACAAGAACAGAACAGTGTTCGTTGGCCCAGGTGCTGAGCACCACGTGGCCTCCCCAGGTGAAAAGTAAAAGGAAAGAAAAACTGTGCTCTCTCGCCCAGGTGTCTATGGGGTTATTCTTGAAATGGGTCCCATTATCAGACTCAATTCTCTCTGGGGTGCTGTGCCACCACAGGACTTGCTTTTCAAGGCCCAGGATGGTATTCCGGGCAGTGGCGTGAGGCACTGGGTATGTCCCCAGCCTTGATCTTCTCCCCATGGCCAAATCAAATTTGTGTGCTTAGACACCGTATGGAGTTCCCTACCACTGTCCACAGGAGAACAGCATCTCTTCTTGTGGCATTTCCTGGAGGTAGGGATCTATACGGAGCATATGGATGTATATGGATCTATATGGAGCAGAAGCGCAGCAGCAGGTAGAGGTACCCTATGCTACATTAGCGCCTCTGTCTATAGGAAGGTGGGCTCTTCCTATCCACAAGCACTTGAAAAGCTGGTATGAGAAGTGCTATAGCAATGCACAAAAGGAGAGTGACTAGTGGGTGAGACACTAGCCTGGGAGCTGGATTTTTATAAGACTTTCCCATTGACTGTGTGGGCAAGTCACCCTTCCATGCTGTGCTTTTATTTGAGCATTTGTTGAAGGAGGGCAATAATTCTTGTCACCATGTGCAAAACCCTTCTGAAACAGCCAGGAAAAAAGAATAATATGATAGAAAACCACATATTATTACAATCAATATTTTCAGTCCTAAGCAACAAATAAACAGCAGCTCAGAAATTTCAAGCCCTGAGAGGGCAAG